GATTTTCGCCGCTACCGGCCAAAAACCATGCGATTTTCGCAGCTGGCGGGCAAAAATCGCGATTTTCGCCGCTAAAAATAGCGCGATTTTCGCCGCTACCGGCCAAAAACCGCGCGATTTTCGCCGCTACCGGCCAAAAACCATGCGATTTTCGCAGCTGGCGGGCAAAAATTGCGATTTTCGCTGCTACCGGCCAAAAATCGCGATTTTCGCCAACCGGCCAAAAACCGCGCGATTTTCGCCGCTACCGGCCAAAAACCGCGCGATTTTCGCCGCTACCGGCCAAAAACCATGCGATTTTCGCCGCTACCGGCCAAAAATCGCGATTTTCGCCGCTACCGGCCAAAAATCGCGATTTTCGCCGCTACCGGCCAAAAACCGCGCGATTTTCGCCGCTACCGGCCAAAAACCGCGCGATTTTCGCCGCTACCGGCCAAAAAAAAAAATCGCGATTTTCGCCGCTACCGGCCAAAAATAGCGCGATTTTCGCCGCTACCGGCCAAAAACCGCGCGATTTTCGCCGCTACCGGCCAAAAACCATGCGATTTTCGCAGCGATTTTCGCAGCTGGCGGGCAAAAATCGCGATTTTCGCCGCTACCGGCCAAAAATAGCGCGATTTTCGCCGCTACCGGCCAAAAACCGCGCGATTTTCGCCGCTACCGGCCAAAAACCATGCGATTTTCGCAGCTGGCGGGCAAAAATCGCGATTTTCGCCGCTACCGGCCAAAAATAGCGCGATTTTCGCCGCTACCGGCCAAAAAACGCTCGATTTTCGCCGCTACCGGCCAAAAACCATGCGATTTTCGCAGCTGGCGGGCAAAAATCGCGATTTTCGCCGCTACCGGCCAAAAATAGCGCGATTTTCGCCGCTACCGGCCAAAAATAGCGCGATTTTCGCCGCTACCGGCCAAAAAACCATGCGATTTTCGCAGCTGGCGGGCAAAAAAAAGCGCGATTTTCGCCGCTACCGGCCAAAAATAGCGCGATTTTCGCCGCTACCGGCCAAAAACCGCGCGATTTTCGCCGCTACCGCCAAAAACCATGCGATTTTCGCAGCTGGCGGGCAAAAATCGCGATTTTCGCCGCTACCGGCCAAAAATAGCGCGATTTTCGCCGCTACCGGCCAAAAACCGCGCGATTTTCGCCGCTACCGGCCAAAAACCATGCGATTTTCGCAGCTGGCGGGCAAAAAATCGCGATTTTTGCCGCTAGCGGCCAAAAATCGGGCTATTTTTGCCGCTATTTTCGCCGCGCTATTTTGCCAAAAACCATGCGATTTTCGCAGCTGGCGGGCAAAAATCGCGATTTTCGCCGCTACCGGCCAAAAATAGCGCGATTTTCGCCGCTACCGGCCAAAAACCGCTCGATTTTCGCCGCTACCGGCCAAAAACCATGCGATTTTCGCAGCTGGCGGGCAAAAATCGCGATTTTCGCCGCTACCGGCCAAAAATAGCGCGATTTTCGCCGCTACCGGCCAAAAACCGCGCGATTTTCGCCGCTACCAGCCAAAAACCATGCGATTTTCGCAGCTGGCGGGCAAAAAATCGCGATTTTCGCCGCTACCGGCCAAAAATAGCGCGATTTTCGCCGCTACCGGCCAAAAACCGCGCGATTTTCGCCGCTACCGGCCAAAAACCATGCGATTTTCGCAGCTGGCGGCCGCAAAAATCGCGATTTTCGCCGCTACCGGCCAAAAATAGCGCGCGCCGCTACCGGCCAAAAATAGCGCGATTTTCGCCGCTACCGGCCAAAAACCGCGCGATTTTCGCCGCTACGGGCCAAAAACCATGCGATTTTCGCAGCTGGCGGCGCGATTTTCGCCGCTACCGGCCAAAAATAGCGCGATTTTCGCCGCTACCGGCCAAAAACCGCGCGATTTTCGCCGCTACCGGCCAAAAACCATGCGATTTTCGCAGCTGGCGGGCAAAAATCGCGATTTTCGCCGCTACCGGCCAAAAATAGCGCGATTTTCGCCGCTACCGGCCAAAAACCGCGCGATTTTCGCCGCTAAAAAACCATGCGATTTTCGCAGCTGGCGGGCAAAAATCGCGATTTTCGCCGCTACCGGCCAAAAATAGCGCGATTTTCGCCGCTACCGGCCAAAAACCGCGCGATTTTCGCCGCTACCGGCCAAAAACCATGCGATTTTCGCAGCTGGCGGGCAAAAATCGCGATTTTCGCCGCTACCGGCCAAAAATTTTTCGCCGCTACCGGCCAAAAACCGCGCGATTTTCGCCGCTACCGGCCAAAAACCGCGCGATTTTCGCCGCTTTTCGCCGCGGGGCAAAAATCGCGATTTTCGCCGCTACCGGCCAAAAATAGCGCGATTTTCGCCGCTACCGGCCAAAAACCATGCGATTTTCGCCGCTACCGGCCAAAAAATCATGCGATTTTCGCAGCTGGCGGGCAAAAATCGCGATTTTCGCCGCTACCGGCCAAAAATAGCGCGATTTTCGCCGCTACCGGCCAAAAACCGCGCGATTTTCGCCGCTACCGGCCAAAAACCATGCGATTTTCGCAGCTGGCGGGCAAAAATCGCGATTTTCGCCGCTACCGGCCAAAAATAGCGCGATTTTCGCCGCTACCGGCCAAAAACCGCGCGATTTTCGCCGCTACCGGCCAAAAACCATGCGATTT